GGCAGTGACAGACTTTGTATTTCTAGGTACAAAGATGACTGCAGATGCAGACTGCAGTAGGGAAATCAGAAAACGCTTACTTCTTGGGAGGAGAGCAATGACCAATCTCGACAAAATAGTGAAGAGTAGAGACATCACACTGGCAAGGAAGATCCGCATAGTAAAAGCAATGGTATTCCCCGTAGTAATCTACGGATGTGAGAGCTGGACCATAAGGAAGACTGAGCGAAGGAAGATAGATGCTTTTGAACTGTGGTATTGGAGGAAAGTTCTGAGAGTGCCTTGGACCGCGAGAAGATCCAACCAGTCCATACTTCAGGAAATAAGCCTGACTGCTCATTGAAGGGAAGGATATTAGAGGTAAAGATGAAGTATTTTGGCCACATCATGAGAAGACATAAAAGGTTAGAGAAGACAATTATGCTGGGGAAAATGGAAGGAAAAAGGATGAGGGGCCGACCAAGAGCAAGATGGCTGGATGGCATCCTTGAAGTGACTGGCTTGATCTTGAAGGAGCTGGGGATGGTGACAGCTGGTGGGCTGGTCCATGAGGTCACGAAGAGTTGGAAGCCACTGAACCAATGAACAACAACAAATGTAGGTTGTTGTAGGGTTTTTTGGGCTATATGGCCATGGTCTAGAGCCATTTTCTTCTGACATTTCGCCTGCATCTATGGCAAGCATCCTCAGAGATAGTGAGGTCTGTTGGAAGTAGGAAAATGGGTTTATATATCTGTGGAATGACCAGGGTGGGACAAAGGACTTTTGTCTGCTGGAGCTAGGTGTGAATGTTTCACCTGACCACCTTGATTAGCATTTAATGTCTTGGAAGTGCCTGGGGGAATCTTTTGTTGAGAGGTGATATGATGTGCCTGATAGTTTACTCTCTGTTGCTTTGCTGTTGTAATTTTTGAGTTTTTTAATACTGGTAGCCAGATTTTTTCAGGAGAAAATGCCTATAGACCATGGCCATATAGCTCGAAAAAACTTACAACAACGCTTCCTCTCATTCCGGCCATGAAAGCCTTCGACAATACATTGAACAACAAATGTACCCTCTCACTCTGGAAATTGCAATAAAAAGAACCTATGCTTCAAAGTTATTGAAAAGTCATTCATGACATATTGATATTGCAGACTAACACAGCTACGTCTTTGAAGTCTGCTTTGCAAGGTGTTTGTTTTGCCACAGTAACGACCTAGCTAACCCAATCTCAATGGGGGGGGGGGCATGATGTTTTGGTGGCTGTTGTTGTTGTCTTTGCGCTCCTCCTTTCCCCAACTGCTTCCTCTCCGCCAGGAGCAGGGCCTGTCCGCGTGAGACGATTCCACGGCGCTACAAATCCCACGCCTGAGCCACGAGTGTGCTTCGCCTCGTGCCCTGAGGGTGCGAAAAGATCCCTCCTGCGTTGCTGGGAGAATCGGCGGAGGGAGACGGAGAGAGAAAAAAGTTCTCGGAAAGGAAACAACTTGAAATAGCTATGACAGTGTGCATGCGCCTTGGAAGCTTCAGGTCGGGTGCCTTGCTTTCAGAAGGGGCCAGCTCCTTTCTCCTGACCCCCCAACCGCCCCCATGGGGCGGTTGGGGGGTCAGGAGAAAGGAGCTGGCCCCTTCTGAAAGCAAGGCACCCGACCTGAAGCCATCACAAAGCTAGTTCTCCACAACAGCAATCCTCCAACCTTCTCACTCCAAAAACAGAGCCAACCTCCCGAGGATATCCCTCCGCGCGAAAAATAAAGTGAACGAAAAGGGGGGACTACTTTCAGGGGACTTGAATGGCGGGAGTGGGGAGGCTGAGGGGGAAAGAAAACACTGAGGGACCTTTCAAAGGCTGCTTATTTCTCACTCGCCGTCTCCTCTGGCCCTCTTCTTCTCCTTAAGAGAGTGGTTGTCTTTTTCTGGAGGAGGGAAAAGACCACAATTGCGCCTCCCTAGGACAGAGCCTTCGCGCATGGTCGCGAAATATTTATGAATTGAAGGCTTCCTCCGTCGGGCGCCTGTCATGTCTTTCTCTTCTCCAGAGGAACTGAAAGAGAAGTGAGCCAGGCTTTTTCCTCCTCTGCATTAAAGTTGTGGCCATTCATCGTATGTGTGTATGAGAGAGAATTTTACCACAAAACCGAATAATAAACTCTATTAAGCAGCGCCTCGAATGAAATGAAAACAAGACTTCCTTCGGTGCTGTTCAGCAGTGGAACTCTCTGCCCCGGAGTGTGGTGGAGGCTCCTTCTTTGGAGGCTGGGTGGCCATCTGTCGGAGGTGCTTCGAACGCAATTTTCCTGCTTCTTGGCAGGGGGTTGGACTGGATGAGGTCTCTTCCAACTCTATGATTCTATGGTGCATCTACACTGTAGAATTAATGCAGTTCAGCGCCACTTAAACTGCCCATGGCTCAGTGCTATGGAATCGTGAGAGGCGGCCTTTAGGACCTTTCCACACAGCCATATAAATCAGAATATCAAGGAAAATCCCACAATATCGCCTTTGAACTGGGTTATCTAAGTCCACACTGCCATATATTCCAGTTCAAAGCAGATAATGTGGGATTTTATCCAACTGTGTGGAAAGGGGCCCCAGCCTTCTGAGTTTGGTGCTGGCGCCTCAACAAAGTACAAACACTATCATTCCCTAGCACTGGACCATGGCAATTAAAGTGGTGTCAGCCTGTATTGATTCTACAGTGTAGACGCAGCAGCGAAGGCACTCTTCTTGAAGCGCAATGGCCACGGGAGAAGGGAAGAAGAGCGCCCCTTGATGCGGAAGAGGCTCCGGTGCTGTTTGCCCCTCTGTCTCGAGGCCCTTCCACACAGCCATGTAACTCGAGGCAGAAAAACTCACAATATCTGCTTTGAACTGGATTAACTGAGTCCAGACTGCCATATATCCCAGTTCAAAGCAGATAGAAAACCGCCCTGAGTCGCCTGAGGGCTGAGAAGGGCTGTATACAAATACAGTAAGTAAGTAAATAATGTGGAAGGTGCCTCCATTCGCATAAATAGTGAAGTTCCCAGGACGTGTCGCCTTGGTCCTGGAGACTCTCGAGGCTCCTCTTCCCAAACAGCGGCGGCCTTCCTTTCCTCTCCTAGATTTAGCTCGGAAGGAGCTTGGGAAGTCAACGCTTCCTCTCAGTTTCCCCCCAAGGAGTGGTGAGAGAATACATTGTAGCAGGGGATGTTGCCTTTCTCGCTGGGAAAATCAGGCGCTGCAACTGAATCCTCTAACTATGGGCCCTTCCGCACAGCCCTACAGCCCAGAATATGAAGGCAGAAATCCCATAGTATATGCTTTGAACTGTGTTGAGTCCATACTGCCATATATTCCAGTTCAAAGCTGATAATGTGGGGTTTTATTCAGCAGTGTGGAGGGGGCCCCGTGGGTGTGAGAGGGTTTTTTCTTCTTCTTTTGATCCCCTGGCTTCTTGCTCCCCTTTCCTATCTCTCTGTATATGCCCAGGGGCTCTTCCTCTCCCTGCCCTCTTCCTCCCCTTCTCTTCCCTCTCAGGCCCCTTCCACACTGCTGAATAAAATCCCACATTATCTGCTTTGGACTGGAATATATGGCAGTGGACTCAGATAACCCAGTTCAAAGCAGATATTGGATTTTCTGCCTTGATGCTAGCTGACTTCCCCCCCCCCCCCTCTCTCTGGGCCCTTCCACACAGCCATATAATCCAGAATATCAAGTTAGAAAATCCCACAATATCTGCTTTGAAGTGGTTTATCTGAATCCACAATGCCATATATTCCAGTTCAAAGCAGATAATGTGGGATTTTATTCTACTGTGTGGAAGAAGCCTCTGTGAGAGATTCTTCTTTCTCCTCCTGGCTTCTTTCACCACTTCTCTTCCCTCTCTGTGACAAACTCGTCTTCTTTTTCTTTTTTCTCCTTCTTCTGGCTCCCCCCCCCCCTCTCTCTCTCTGTGAGAGATTTTTCTTCTTTCTCCTCCTAGCTTCTTCCTCCCCTTCTCTTCCCTCTCTGTGAGATACTCTTCTTCCTTTTCTCCTCCTGGCTTCTTTCTCCCTGTCTCTGGGCCCTTCCACACAGCCCTATATCCCTATATCAAGGCAGAAAATCCCACCTTATCTGAGTGTGGACTCTTGATAATCCAGTTCAAAGCAGACATTGTGGGGTTTTCTGCCTTGATAGTTTGGGATATGGGGCTGTGTGGAAGGGCCTTCTGTGAGATTCTTCTTTCACCTTATGGCTTCTTCCTCCCCTTCTCTTCCCTCTCTATGAGAGATGCTTCTTCTTTTTCCTTTTTCTCCTTCTCCTGGCTTCTTTCTGCCTTTCTCTTTCTGTGAGAGATTCTTCTTTCTCCTCCTCTCTCGCTCCCTCTTCATTTCCCTCTCTGTGAGAGACTCTTCTTCGTCCTCCTGGCTTCTTGCTCCCCTTTCCTAGTTCTCTCCTTGAGGGGCTCTTCTTTCTCCTTCTCTTCCTCCTGGCTTCTTACTCCCCTTCCTTAGTTCTCTCTGCAAGATACTCCTTTTACTCATCCTCTTGGCTTCTTTCTCCTCTTCCCTCTCCGTGAGAGACTTTCTTCTTTTCCTCTTTTCTCCTTCTCCTGGCTTCTTTCTCCCCTTTTCTTTCCTCTTTGTGAGAGGCTCTTCTTCGTCCTCCTGACTTCTTGCTCCCCTTTCCAAGTTCTCTGTGTGAGGGACTCTTCCTCCTACTGGCTTCTTCCTTGGTTCTCTCTGTAACATACTCTTCTTCTTCCTTCTCTTGGCTTCTTTCCTTTTTCCTCTGTGAGGGACTCTCCTCCTCCTCCTGCCTTCTTGCTCCCCTTCCCTATCTCTGTGTCTGCGTGAGGGACGCCTCTTCTTCCTCCTTGTCCTTCCTTCCTTCTCCTCCTCGCAGCCACCAGCCGTGACGCGTCCCCCTTTCCCCCTCTTGCTTTAAAACTCCCCCCTCTTCCCTCCCTCCCCTCCTCCTGCTTCCTCTCGTCCGCCTGGGGCTGAATTAGTTCCCCTCTCCGTGCTGCCTCCGTTCTCTCTCTCTCTCTCTCTCCGAGCCTCCCCCCTTTCTCTCTCTTTCAACCTCTCCCCCGCCTTCTCCGCCTTCCCTTTTTCGGATTTGTTGGGCGTTGTTGGGTGTCTGGTGGAATTTAAGCCGAGGAGGCTCTTTCCTTCCTGGCCCGGGGCTGGCAGCTCAAGAAGAGGAGGAGGAGGAGGAGAAAAGGGGGGGGGGAAGACTTGTTTGGAGGAAGGAGGGGAGAAGAGGAAGGCAGGCAGGAAGGAAGGAAAGAAGGAGGCGAAGGCCAGGCGCTGTGAGGAGGAGCAGCAGCCGCAGCCTGAGAGAGACACACAGAGAGGGAGGCTTTAAGCTGCCTTCTTCCAAAGGGAAGAACTAGAAGAAGGAGCAGCAGTCGTCGACGCCGAAGAGGAGTAATCATCGACCCAACTCCCGGGCAAAGAAGACGGTGCCTTCGTGTCTAGCGCTTAAAAGGAAGAAGAGGGAAGACTTGGACGGGTGCTGCTTATTTTGGGGGGCGGACCCCCTCCCCTCCCACACACAAACACACACACATACACACCTCGATCTCTTCCTTCGCCCCTCCGGATCGAGGCCATTCTGGCGGAAAGGGGCCAGGTTTGGGGGTCCGACAATGGTGAGGTTTCTGGGGAGCTCCTTCTGCTGCGCCCCGGCTGCATCGGTGCCGCTCCATCCCCGCGTCGGATCACGGTGAGGGAAAAATGAGCGAAGAGACGGCGAACTGCAACAACGAGTAAGTTCTGGGTTGTTTGGGTTTTTGTTTTTTGTTTTTGGTTTTTTTTTTTTTTGGTTTTTTTTTAAAAAAAGTCAATCTGCTTTGGTGAGTTTGGGAGGACGGGAGAGAGAAGAGTGTGTGTTTGTGTAGAAGGTCCCTTTGGTTTGGTCGCCTCCATTAACTGACCTGCAGAGCTTTCTCTTTCGGCTTGTCATACACAGCTGGCTCATAACATGTCTGGATTTTAGTGTGTTGTATGTGTGTATTCACACACACACACACATATTCAGGGTAGGCCAAAAGCCACGATAGAGGAGGTGGATATTTAATAACTACTTCTTTTTTTGTTTCTAATTCACAATACCATATACAGTATATAAAATAGGAGTGGGGAAAAAATAAAATCTCCTAAATGGCGTCCAATGCCACATACAGTACGTGTATATATAGGACTTCTTCGTGACTTCTGGCCTACCCTGGATATATAACACTTGAAGGGCTCTCTCAGGGCCCTTCCACACAGCCATATAGCCCAGAGTATCAAGGCAGAATAACCCACAATATCTGCTTTGAATTGAAATATTTGAGTCCACACTGCTCTATATTTCAGTTCAAAGCAGATAATGTGGGGTTTTATTCGGCTGTGTGGAAGGGCCCCTTAGTCTTGGGAAGGATTAGGAAATGTCATGGGTGGTACAAATATTATATACATACATACATACATACATACATACATACATGTATGTATATATACATACATACATACATATACACACACATACATACATATACACACACATACATACACACACATACACACTCACACGCGCACACACACATATACACATATATACACACTAACTGGGTGGCTATGTATAGATGTGTCTCTCCATCTAGATGTGTGTTTTTGAGATTATAAGGCACCCCACCCTCTTCCCCAGACTGTGGCCTTTACAGCTCTGCTTTTCAAAAGTCCTTTTTTTTTTCATTTGCATGTTTCAAATAGCAAGTAGTGTGTGGGAGCTTCATCCTGTAGGAAACTGCTCCTGAATCTTAATTGGGTGAGTCAGTCCATGTAAATACAGTGTTAAACCTTCCCCTAAAGCTTAATGGTTTAATGAGTTGGTAGGACTCCCCCCCACTTTTTTTTTTTAAAGTAGAGGATGGAATGAAGATTCAGTTTTTAATATAATATGTTTTGTCTTAGATGAAATCCATAAGCGGACATGAATTTTTATATCTAGAGACAAGTGGTCTTCCAAATTAGCTGTTTAAAAAATGGAGTACCAAACCTCATGTAGGTACATATATGGTCTTTCTGAAATATGTTCTGTCGATGGTCTTGAACTTCCCATATCCTCTAAATATATAATTATAAACAGTGACTTTTGATCTCCATATCCTGCACTGTCAGTGGTGGTTCTTTTCTGTAGAATGAGCTGCCAATTAGTCATTTGCTTAGAATTGCTTCACTAAAATTGTGCATATTATAGTATGAAATGTTTTTTTTTTCTGGTGGAACGCTGTTGTTGTTATTATTATTATTATTATTATTATTATTATTATTATTATTATGACTTGAGTGGAAAGTGCAGTTCCCAGCTTTGGGTAGAGAAATGGGGCTCCTGTCACTTGCATACATTCCTCCAAATAAAAACACATAATTCCTCAAGACAGTTCAGCGAACAAACAGGCTTCTCCTTCGGTTGGGTTTTTAATGAATGGGTTCATTCCTAAACCAAGATGTCATAATATAACTGGGGCAAATCCTGAATTGCAGTAGGCAAAGTGCAAAACACTGCGTTGAGCTGGTTGATAAGATGAAGTGCTGCAGTACCCGTGGAAGGGAAAGGGAAGCAGCCGCCATATTTTCTTTTTTGTGAATCGCTCTAATTTGCATACCACAGTCTTCATTCATAAAAAAAATAATTAAACCTGTACCACCTCTGGTATTCATCTGGAACTGTCTTGCAAGGAGTGGAAATTTTTACATAATCTTAGGAAGTGTCCAGTAGGCTCAAGCAGTAGGATTTTCTGGGTTCTTGTGTCGAAAAATGCTGTTTTCGTCTTGTTGACACTGTTATATGGGAAATATCAGCTCGGGGAAGTGCTGGGAGCACGTGATCCACTCCATTCATAAAATACCTGGCTGGCCATTCACATTGCAGTACACTGTGTCTTCGTGGAGCTACTTTCATATTAGACCTGGTTCTTTTAAGGAAGATATAGATTTTTTAACAGGGTGTGTACAAAAGCAGGAACTTGCTGAACTGCTTATGAATAATGGTGCACATTTTTAAAAAAATGAGAACTGAAACGATATCTCTTTAAGGATAGAATTTTCCAGTAGGCAATGGCAAAATCAGAGACTAGCTGTAGTTATAAAACAAGCAACTGATTGGATCAAAGTGACATAGACACCATTGAAAAAGGAGCAAAATGCTCGCACTCTTGTTCACTTGTGAATTTTCTGCATTTTTCTTGGTCTCTTGTTATACAGTCTCCTCTTTGCATTGAAAACATATTAAGAAAACAAATTTGTTTGTTTTTTTAAGAAAGAAAGGCTGAGTACTTCTTAAGTCAGCTTCTATTAAACATTTGAAAGCTGGTTGATGTGAAATTAATGAGATGTATTTTCTGATGAGACACAAAAGCAGACTGAATCTGGTAGAAGCTTTGGTTGATGTAGGGTTGATGTTCCACTTGATCATAAATATTTGAAGGAAAAGAAATGCGTAATGCTATTTGGACAAGCTGCAATGTTACAAAATTAGAAATAAGTGATTTCTGAAAATGTTAAATATGATGGGACAATGTTATTGAAATATTTGATTAGGATTTTAAACATTTTTCAATTTTTGCAAATTGGTTTTTTTAGTTATCCATACTTGTGTACGTAAAACAGTCGGAAAGCTCAAATCACAAGAAAATGCTTTAATGTCTGTTCCAATTCTTATGGGGTTATTTCTTATTAATGTGACATCATGCTGTGTATAGACATATTCTGAATTTCTCTTGATTGTCAAGATATATTTCCTGCTTTGCAAGGAGTTTCTTTAAAAAATTACATTAGGATTTTTGCATATGATATGGAGGAGGGGAGCAGCTGGTGGTTCAATTACTATTATCCAGATTGAAGCAGATTTTTCCTAAAACATTGCAACCAATAACTCTAGTTAAGAATTGTTTGCGCAGATTTTGTTCTGAAAATGACTTTAATTTTACTGACTAGTAAAGTATGTTGTGCTTATTTTGCACAAGTTGCCATTTGAATATAGATATATTAGCAATGGAATTGAATTCCAAAGACATGTTTCGTTATTTTTGAATGTATATTTTCTGATTGTATATTAGATTGCTTGTGCCAAATAATTAATAAAATAATTTCAAAAATTAGACTCCGAAGACAGGCTTCTGGGCATTGCATACGTATATGTGTATGTAAAAGACAGCATGATGAGTTTGACATATATATATTTGTCAATCCAACAGTCTCTATTTTTATTTGAAATCATACATTAGAGAGGGGTTTTTAATTTCTTATACTTTGTGCTTGTTCTATCCAGTTCAAATTTTCAGCTCTTTTGACTGCTTTTAATTCAGTGGAAAAATACAAACTCATATTAACCTTTTACAGTGTTTGAAAAAATAATAAGGTTTCATGGTAATACATACTATACATCCTTAAGAAGCATTTCAAGTTCAACTAATCGAGTTTGCCTAGCATGTTTTGTTTTTTTGGGTTGTTTTTTAAGTATCCTAGGCCTCGAGCCAATGTTTTTTCATTGGTTGCTAAGGTGGGAGGGTCAGACTATGTGATTTTTATTATAAGATTGGATAATTAATTAAAAACGAATTCAGTGTTATTCCATATGATGCTACATCTCGATTCTGGGTATATTTATTTTGTTTTTAAAATCAAAAAGCATATTTTGTCCTGCCCTTTCATATTTTTCAATAAAAGGTTTAGATAGGTAGGAGTCAATATTCCGACAATATTGAGCTCTGTTTTAGGGAAACCTGCTGTGTGTTGTAATGTTGCAGATCACTTAGACAAAATGTTTTTAGAATTCGGCTCATTGCTTTTTGTTTGTGATGATATGCCATTTACATGACAGCAACAGAAAACGCACTGCTTAAAATAATGCATTTAATTGTGTAAATAAAATGCCACTTACATTTAATTAGAGTTTTGATATTACTCCCAAAAGTTGTCAAAGTATTTGGTTTTATACCAGTACAGGAGACAGGACTATTATAGCTAGTTTTTTCTCTTTGATCATTTCTCTGGTGCTACTCTAGGAGGAAGAAGTAATTCTTGATCCTTGTGATTCAGCCCAGGATGAACCTGTTTGCAGACCTTCATGGGCTGGATCATAGATAGGAAGGAACTACTGAACAAACAGGTCTATCATTCATTTGGATGCAAGGTCAAACATTCAGCTGAATGCATAGTTGTTTCCTAGCCCTATAGAAGAAGCCTGCTACAAGGGCTGATTCTGTTATGAATAATTTTGTATTTGAATAATTGTGGGTAGAAGATGAGTTGGCAAACAAGCATGTTCACTCGAGGTTGGGGGTTAAATTGAGCAAATCAATAACTTGAACTTGGTTTGGGATTATTCCACTTTACAGGCTTCCTAGTATTTTTTTTCTTGATTCTACATTCCGACTATTTTTAAGCAACAGTTTAAAAAAATGCTAAGTTTGCATTTGAAGAGAAACCACAGAAACTTCACTGATAAGAATAATCGCACATTGGAACTGCAATATGTTTATGTGAAGTGGTAGCTTTGTATTCAGCCTCAGGTGCTTAAAGAATCTGTTTGTTTCATAACCAACACTTTTCAGCTGTGGGCCTTTCTCAGTGTCATAAGGAAATATCTATGAGATGAATAGAATTAGAATCTCAAGAGATAATTAAATCATATGAAAATATCCAGAATAATAGGACATGCTTGCATAATTTTTCTTTCTTCCTATATAAGGCCTACCATACTAAAACACTGATCTTCTTT